ATCTTTAGAAAGGTAGATTTTTGGATTGAAGAAGTAGAGGAATGCTTTATAGGTTGTTTTTAACCTGATTATTAATTTAATGGGCTGAAATAAATGTTCAAATATCAACTATTTGGCAAATACAAATAAAAGCTAATCATACTCTTTCATGTGYGTATATAATATAAAATATTAATATGTATTTGTTGGTTACACTGTGCAATGGCATATTTGATATGAGTATATGCACACCTTTAAGATTTGGTCAGGCCTTCAAAGCTTATCTCTTCTCCCTGGGTCTCAAAAAGCAGAGCCTCTATTGTCTCCAAGAGTAAGTATTGAAAGCACATGTTAATGGTCCATGACACTGGAGCATCATCAAGGAGGTTTTGGTGACTGATGCTCTTGAAGYGGTTGCTCAATGCCCCTCTCCCCTGCATTTGGATCATATGAGAACTGTCAAGTTTAAAAAGCTATACAAGCACGCCTTTCTTCTTTTCTACTGTAATGCACCAGTAAATTCTTCATTCTTTATGGTTTATTAGTACTTTTCAAAAGGAAAGAACAGACTGCTGCCAAACCTGGCTATGGAATCAGATGGGGGTGGGAGTGGGCTTTGTAATTCATAGAAAATAGAAATTTCCCATTGTCTGGAATGTGGTGTCGGTGAGACTTTGTTTTCATAATCACAGCACACAGTAAGAAGTTTCCATATGTAAAGAGAATAATTATGTTTGCACAAGTACATCACCATTATAGAGATGCACAAAAAGACAGGCTGAGAAAGTAAAAGAAAAACAACTTCTTTGTTGCATATGAATCCTTTCTTATTTTTCACTATATACATGCAATTTTCCACATATAGAGTCACCTATTATTCAAACCTAAGCAGAAGAAAGGTAGTCTGGGAGTATCATCCCCTTCTCCTTCCACTCCCCCAGTTGTTGGCAGACCTAAATTAGTGAATATTCTTATAAGTTGGTTTACTGATGTGAACAGTTWTTTAGACCTTTAAAAGGGGCTTCCTTTTAAAATGCAAAGATGACAATCACTGTTTCATTAAGAAGTCCACATGCAGCCTRTTACCTGCTTAAGGGAAAACATTTCCTTTGAGTCTAAATCAAGCTAGTAAATTTAAGACACCTGGGAGTGTTGGGTGCACTGAACTTTTGGCAGAAGTCCCGAACTAAAAGAGCTAATGCATTATTTTGCTTTGTTTCTTTGTAARAAAAAAACAGTCTGCTGCCAAACCCAGCTCAGGAATTACATGGGGAGGGGAGCAATTTGCAGCCCATTGATAAAGCCCAATACAGATARTATTAGAAGAATTTTCCCTCCTATGAGCATTCCCTTTAGCCAWAGTGAAATGCCCAAAGAGAAGGGTGTTGTGGTTAGTTCTGCCTTGGTTGTTCTTACCTGGATAGAGGTCAGGCCCAGGCCCRGGGGAGCATCCCACAGTGCCATCAGCAGCAGTGTCTCTTGGAGAAGTGGCTGGCTGCAGGGGYTGCACAGTGAGGCAATCTGAGAGCAGGTCTGGATGGAGCTCAGTGCTGGACCGAAGCTGAGAGAAGGAGAAAACAAGAGAGATGGAGAAAGAAAGCTGGTCCTTGGAATACTTGCCTGGCAAAGTCTCATGCCCTAAGGTTCAATGCAATTCAATCCACAAATATTTATCAAGCAGCCACTATGGGGAWGGCACGAGCTTTACACAGTGTCAATAAAAGGGCTGGTTTGCCAATACTAATAACACCTGGCAGGTGCTCCAGGAAAGACGTGGCTAGAGGCAAGCAGAGCTGACTTCAGTCCTCAATATTTCCACTYCTGGGAACCCAACTTCCTATTGTATTTCCATTTATTTGCCCTGTATCTTATCAGAACTTGTAGTGATAACAAAAACAAACTCAAGTAGGTTTACCCCATATTGAAAAGTGCTTTTAAAATAGAGAGATACTGTCATGGAATATCTGGAGATAATGAAGAAATATCCATTGAGATTTGACTTCTGCAGATTTTACAGGAAAGGAAAGTACTCAAGTTAAACTTTAAAATATTATGGAGCATGATTAAAAGAAAAACTGATATCATTAACAGCAACAAAACCCAATTAGAAGTTACRTTATAACAACATGGTTTGAAGTTAGTCACATGTAAGAAAATTAATTATTTTCTTATATCTTTATTTATTTTTTATTTTGTGTGGTGCTGAGGATTGAACCCAGTGCCTCACTCATGCAAGGCAAGCACTGTACCTCTGAGCCATAAC